GCCCATATCTTTTCATAGCTTGATAGCTCATTATTTTCTGTTGCTGCCTAATACTTCATTTTATACTACAATTTGTCTAATATTAAATTAAAATTTTAGCTGGGCCCCATGGTTCCTTCCTGTTAATCCCAACACTTTGGGAGGCCAAGGCAGGCAGATGGCTTGAGCCCAGGAATTTGAGATCAGTCTGGGCAATATAATGATATTCCTCTCAAAAAAAATTTTTTTCTAAATAGCCAGGTGTGGTGGCTCATGCCTGTAGTGTCAGCTACTTGGGAAGCTGAAGTGAGAGAATCGCCTGAGCCCAGGAAGTTGAGGCTGCAGTGAGCCACGATCACACCACTGCACTCCTACCTAGAAAAGAGAGTGAGATGTCCTCTCAAAAAAATATTTTTTTAAAGAAAAATTGTTCTAACACTTATAAAGATAAGAAAGATTTTCTTCAAGTCTTTTTCAGTCATCCATGATGACTCCATAGGGAACGGTAATTCAAGTTCATGTTCAACAAGGATAAGTGAAGGTTTATAGCTGATGAACACAGTGAGGAGATCAGTGCGTGGAAAATTAGAAAGAGGAGACATCAAGGATATGGCAATTCTTGCTAAACTGGCCTAACAGATTCTTGCTAAAGTCAGGCCAAACATGTACACCTTAAAGATGGGAGAGGAAGAACTTGATCAGATATCAAGAATGATGAAATATCAATAGTAAGGGGATGATTTAGCAGGATTCCTGTGAAAGCTGGGAACAAGAGGCCAGACATGAAAAGCTAAGGTCAAGGACTAGTTGAGAGGGATGCCCAGGGGAGCCTTTCCAAAGTTAATCAAGGAGAGAGTCTTTATCACCATCCATCCACATATTGAAGAACATCTTTGTTGCTTCCATTATTTTGGTAATTATGAATAAAGTTGCTATACAATATGTGCAGATTTTGGTGTCCTTTATCCAGAAATATAAGTCAATCATAGGACACATCTAATTTCCGAGGTGGATCACTTTCCTCCACTGCCTGAGGTCCAGTCTTGAAAACAGTTGCTTCTGCCAGATGCAGTGGCTCACGCCTGTGATCCCAGCACTTTGGAAGGCTGAGGGAGGCAGATCACCCGAGGTCGGGAGTTTAAGACCAGCCTGACCAACATGGAGAAACCCCGTCTCTACTAATAATACAAAATTAGCTGGGTGTGGTGGTGCATGTCTGAAATCCCAGCTACTTGGGAGGCTGAAGCAAGAGAATTGTTTGAAATCTGGAGGTGGAGGTTACAGTGATCCAAGATCAGGCCATTGCACTCCAGCCTGGGCAACAAAAGTAAAACTCCATCAGAAAGAGAGAGGGAAAGGGGAAAGGGAAGGGAAAGGGGAAGAGAAAGGGGAAGGGAAGGGGGAAGGGAAAGGGGAAGGGGAAGGGGAAGGGAACGGGAAAGGGAACGGGGACGAGAAAGTGGAAGGGAAGGGGGAAGGGAAAGGGGACGGGGACGGGGAAGGGAAGGGGAAGGGGAAGGGGAAGAGGAAGGGGAAGGGAAGGGGAAGGGAAAGGGGAAGAGAAAGGGGAAGGGAAAGGGAAAGGGGAAGGGAAAGGGGAAGGGAAAGGGGAAGGGGAAGGGGAAGGGGAAGAGGAAGGGGAAGGGAAAGGGGAAGGGAAAGGGAAAGGGGAAGAGAAAGGGGAAGGGAAAGGGGAAGGGGAAGGGAAAGGGGAAGGGAAAGGGGAAGGGGAAGGGAAAGGGGAAGGGGAAGGGGAAGAGAAAGGGGAAGGGAAAGGGGAAGGGAAAGGGGAAGAGAAAGGGGAAGAGAAAGGGGAAGGGGAAGGGGAAGAGGAAGGGGAAGGGGAAGGGAAAGGGGAAGGGGAAGGGGAAGGGGAAGGGAAAGGGGAAGAGAAAGGGGAAGGGAAAGGGAAAGGGAAAAAGGGAAAGGGAAAGGGAAAGGGGAGGGAGGGAGGAAGGAAGGAGGGAGGAAGGGAGGGAGGGAGGAAGGAAGGAAACATATGGCTGCTTCAGATATTTTGTCTGTTTTTGTTTGGCTGGTTGTATTAGTTCGTTCTCACAAGACTGGGTAATTTACAAAGAAAAGAGATTTACTTAACTCATAGTTCTGAATGGCTGGGGAGGCCTCAGGAAAGGTACAATCATGGCATAAGGCACCTCTTCAGGGTGGCAGGAGAGAGAATGAGTATCAGCAAGGAAAGTGTCAGATGCTTTAAAACCATCAGATCTTATGCAACTCACTCACTATCATGAGAACAGCATGGGGAACAATGTCCCCATGGTTCAATTATTTTCCACAAGGTCCCTCCCAGGACATGTGGGGATTATGGGGATTATCATCCAACATGAGATTTGGGTGCAGACACAGAGCCCAACCGTAACAGTCTCAGGACCCTGGCTTTTGGTTGTTTCAGATAAAAGGGTAAATTTGGCTCCTGCACCTCCATCTCGGCCACAGTCAAAAGTCCTAGTCAAATGTTAGAAAGTACAGTTTGCGGGCCGGGCGCGGTGGCTCATGCCTGTAATCCCAGCACTTTGGGAGGCCGAGGTGGGTGGATCACGAGGTCAAGAGATCGAGACCATCCTGGTCAACATGGTGAAACCCCGTCTCTACTAAAAATACAAAAAATTAGCTGGGCATGGTGGTGTGTGCCTGTAGTTTCAGCTACTCAGGAGGCTGAGGCAGGAGAATTGCCTGAACCCGGGAGGCAGAGGTTGCAGTGATGCAAGATCATGCCATTGCACTCCAGCCTGGGTAACAAGAGCAAAACTCTGACTCAAAAAAAAAAAAAAAAAAAGCACAGTTTGCTAGGAGAAAACAATCATGAGAAATTTTCTTGACTTCCCCAAAATCATATGGCTGATTGTTACTTGCTATGTAGTAAAGGCAGCCTGGGTAAGGAGCAATACTGTCTCAAGTGGCCCACCCACATTCCAGCCCTTAGAGCAGGACAGAAACAAAAATCTTATGTGAGAACTAGGACTGATGATTAATGAGACATGATGAGTGAACCTTCCTTTAATTGCTAGTACCCAGACCTAGATCAAAATTTCTGAAAATTAAGAATGAGAATCCCTTACACTGTCAAAGGACAGATTATGGAGACATTCTACCTAATAGCTTATGCCAGGACAATCTAAACACCAATCTCCAGGGATATTATACATTTAGGATGACCTGATACCAAAGAGAATACCCTATGAGTGAATAGTCATTTGCCTCAATCCTCCACTTCAGCTGTCAAAGGGTAACACTTGTGTCCTTCATCTGCCTTTTTGAACAAGCTTCTAGTTCTGTACTCACAGTTACACAAAAAGGGTAAAATCAGATTTTCAAGTTTCCAATGAACAATCTAGAAGATTATTATAACCATTATGTATTCATAATAAAAAGCAAAATTAGAAGAGAAATTTGATTTGAGCAATATGAATGCCCATCTTATATGTTCAAACTGATACAGTACTTATCTATTTGCTGGATTCATGGTCCATAGGGTTTTAGATGCCAAGAACACCAGCACATAGATGGTAAAAGCACAACTGGGTAGGAAGAGGCAGGTGGCTCAGACACCAGACAAGATGATGCAGTTTCCATGTTCCAAAACTTCCAGTGTCATGCAAAAACAATCAATTCTATGACTAATTTAGAAGATGGCAGTTAAAACAGAAGTAAGCATTTCATTCCTTTATCTGACAGAAAACCCAAGGCAGACATAATGGATTAATACATTCAGGCATAGCTGTTTGAAATTCTAGGTTTCTCTATAAGTGGTGTTTTGTAGATTACAAATATGCTTGTATAACACGTCATTAAAATGTGCAGTCTTCCCAGTAAAAGGCATTCACTAACTCTCCCTGACTGTCAGGTTTAGAGGTCCTCATACAAATTGCATTTGCTTTATTGTAATTATTTGACACATCAAATTTCCATATATCTTGATTAAAGACAATCTTCCCCCCCTTCTTCTTATGTGAATTCTCGTGCAGGTCTTAGAATTCATGAGCATGTCACTGAGATCAAAATATAGTTGGGAAAATGACTAGCTAGCAGCATGAGTCATAGTCTAATGTTTGATGGCTTACATCAAAGAGATCATATGCAGGAATTCAGAAACACCTCACATTTTTCTCATGTTGTGATGTCTTCTACCAGCACCTACTCACTTATTGAAGAAATTATTGCAGCTACTTGGTGCATAAGAAAAAAGAATCAAAGTCATATTCTCTTTGCCCTGCTATTATATGTCAGTCTACACAAGTATTTCAGAGCTAGACTTAAAAAAATTAACATGCTGTTTGCTAACAGGAGTCTAGCTGTGAGTTTGTTTTGTAGGGCTTTGTTAAATCTATAGACCCACACAATCTGTCCTGTATATATAGCCTTTGATGTCTGTGTATCTCAGGCAGTATTCTTTCCTGGGTTGACTTGTAGCAATGGTGATTAAAAAAAGACACAATATGTTGTTAAAAGGAACATAGCCCATTCAGGATTTATGCACCGACAACATTTCAGCAACATGTGATACAGTCAAAAATGTTAAAATAGCCTTTCCATTTTGCAAGGAAAGCAAGGATATTAGATTGATTCTGTTTCCATAACAGTACATCTCGATGCTACGGTTTTATTCCAGCTCGACCATTTGTCATTTTTTTTCTCTCTTTCTCCTCCCGTAGGATGGGGTAAGGGATGGGTGAGGGGGGCGGAAAGAGGGGTGGAAGCAAACATATTGGGTTTGAGACACTGAAAGTTTGAATCAGGGTATTAAACTAGATCAAATACAAGGAGGCTGGGATGTCAGAACTTGCCAACTTGCTAATCATGCCTTCCTTCAAGGTTTGGTTCCAATAATGTACAGCACTCAGAAATCTAAACAAGGAGATCCTAAAGAAGTCATCAGCAAGGGCTGAGTGAACTGACGATGGGGCTTCACTGGTTCTCTGCTGCGACAGCATTTTGCTATTCGTCATTGTCCTCCCACCCCCAGCAGGCAAGGGGGGAGGGAAGCCCAGAGCTGTACTCACCAGCCTTGATGTGGACATCCTGACTTCTAATTTTCCCTGAAGGATTTTCAGCTGTGCAATAATAAGTATTATCATGGATTAAGGTACTGAAGCTTGAAGGAGGGAAGGGGAAAATTTGGAGAGTGCCGTTGGGGTGGACGTGGCGGATCCCGGGAACATCGTAGATCTCCTCGCCCGTGGCTAGGTACCATCTGAGAGTCACAGGAGGGATGCCTGCTGCGGGGCAGGGCACCAGAGTCCCCGTGGTGCTGGCAAACACTACCTCTTGCAGAGATGCATTGACAAAGTAGAGGCTGGAGTGTAGGTCTTCACTGAAAACTGCAAGAAGACAACACAGGGATCCGCTGGTCAGTAAAACCTGCCTTTGACGTTTGCCGTTCAATCAGTCTGGCCTCAGAACGTTACCTTGAAAATTAATCATGAGGCTCAGGCTCAAATAAAACCAAACAATTCAAATTTTCTCTAAATGCTATGAGCAGAGAGGCTGATGCTAAAATCTAAGGTGTCATCCTAACCTCACATTTTGTACACAAATTGTTAAGTTATCCTGGATGCTAATTTTTAATAGATTAGTTTTTTGCCTCGTGCTTCAAGCCCTGTTCTGTCCCCACACTGACTGCGATTGGACTACATATCTATTTAATGCACTTATTCTCTATCTTCTGTCACTAGAGATAAGCCTCATGAGGACAAGGTCTTGATTTACTCCAATTGCCACTTGGAGCACAGCGCCCAGCTGTCAACGGGCTCTCCATAAAGGGGAGCTGAATGTGTGAATGCCTAGATCCTGTTGCTCGGGTCAAATTGCTCTCGTTAGTAGGTACACTCAGGATTATTACTGAATAAAATTAACCACGCTGTTAATTGAAATTAAAATTCACATGCAAAGCATTTTAAAAAGCACCACTGGTTGCCAAAAATAGAATGCCAAATCAACAATGCACTTTTTATTGAAACAACAAAGAGAACTCTGACAGAAGCACGACTCAAGTCCACCAGCACACAGTGTCTGTTTCGATTTTTACATTTCCCTTCTGGCCCACCTGCCTCCATGCCTTATCTGTATAATTACATTGTGCTAGAGCGTGCATATATAAAATGCAGCATCTTTATAAGTGCTCCGTTCTCACACACCACCTGCATAATTCCATGGTTCTGTACCGACTTCATGAGTCCATATCAGTGAATGCACAATTTATTCATTTTCTTAGGAACTCTTTTCCTGCTCTTCTCATTTAAATTGTTTCTCTTTTACTTCTACAAGTAAATATCGGCAAATGTGTTCATACACATTTGGCTTTTGAATTCATTTAAGGGCCTATACCAAGTGTTTATGGAGTGTTGGTTATGCGAAAAAATAAAACTCAACTTCCAGAAAAATAAAACTGAACTTGTTTATAAGTTAAACAAAAGATTTATAAATATAATGAGATCCTGCTTGTCACACATCTGAGCTTCTCTGTGACTTTTTTTTTTTTAAGCAGAGAGCGATTTATTAGGCAGAGAGAGAGAGAAAGTAAGCTCCCACATTGTTGTGGGAGGGGAATCCAGGGGGATATCCCCTCTGTGACCTTCTAAAGCAGGTGCATACCTAGATACATATTTGTAAGAGACCCCAGATACTGTGAATGAATGAAGTTCACTGGGCAGAGGTGAGAATAACATTTACTGGATGCTTCATAGTACTCTGTACCAGACAATCTTACAATATTTGCAATCAACAACAGCTCTGCTAGGTAAATAAAGGCTCCACTTTGCAGATGATGTCATGGAGATTCACAGGGCTGACACTGGACCAAGGACTCAGGGCTAGGAAGTGGCAGAACCAGATTCAGTCTTTCTGAAGGTTTTGGTGATTTGTGTTTTCTCATCTTAGAAGCGAATGTAACAGTCTCCCTCATTTGGGTGGGGATTAGAGGCAGCTCTCTATAGAGCGGGTCTGTGGCCTGTGCTTCCTGATCGAGTCTTCCTCCATGGTGTGGGGCTGAAGGTTTACAGGCTCCTGCCACATGCTGGGGTTGCTACTAAGCCTGTGTGATAAAATACATGTGCCCCTCGCTTTGCCTATAGTTAATTGGCATGATTTGGTAAGAAAAAGATGAAGAAATTAACATTATTTACAAAGACAATCGGATTCATAATAACAAGATTTAAGCTGCTCACTAAATGTGAGGGTAGCAGGTGGTTCCCTCTTTGTAAATAATGTTAATTTCTTCATCTTTTTGTTTATGGGTTCCCAAAAACATAGAGTCTTTGTTGTGCCACTGCCTTATTCAATGTTATAATTACTGCTTATAATTATTTGAGGAAACACAGCATCCAAGCACCGGCACAAGGCTGAATAGAAGCGGTTGACTCTACTCACAGCAAGATGTAAGGCACGTTCTTCCCTGTTGCCACTTGAAGTGGACACTGTGTGGCTCTTTTTCAGATTTCCTCTCTCAGGCCAATGCACCCCGCCCCAAAGCAACTAGAAAGGTCCTCTGCTGAGTCCCACACTGGGAACCAGCCCCAGTTACAGGGAACTGCCTTGTCTGAGGCCTGCAGGGAATCACTGGTCAAAGGTGGCTCCACAGGCCCAATCCCCTCCATGTTAAGTTGCAACAATGCTGCAGGTGCATCCCACCTGAGACCGCTATTGCCACAGCTTTGCAAGGAAGATTCTCCCTCCACTCATTCCGCCTTCCTCACATCCTTGCTGACGTGCCTCTTGAAAATACACTCCCAGGAGGCCTTTGGCCTGCAACTCTTCCTCGGAGCATCTCCTTTAAGGTAACTCAACACAGGACATGAATTGTGGCTTTGCTAGTTACCCTCCACAACCATGTATTTCTGAAATTTTTTTCTATTTTAAATAAAATGATCAGAAAGCACCAACTAACATTCCCATGTGAACTTCCCAATAGAGTATGAGCAATAAATAAAATACATCAAGATGGAAGGAAGCACTAAGTCTGGATTATCACTGGATTAAAACCTTTTTATAAGCAATAAATTTACACTGAATAAGGCAACGACACAAGAAAGACTCTCGGGCTGATATGTTATTGGGAGCCCATTGAATCTGGAAAGTGACAATATGTAGTTTGTTTTATGAAAACATATTCATGTGAGAATCTAACATTTATCTACTATATAAACATTTTGATTTTTTAGTTAAACTTCACATACTCAATGAGCTAATATACACAAGCCTAAGGCCTGGCATGCTGTGTTTCGTAAATGATAGTTGGTGCATTCACTGTCCCTTGTTTTTATTTTTCCCTCCATAATTAATGTGGTGTGTCAAACTTCCACCGATAATATAAACTTTTGAAGTATTTCTGGAATTTCTATTTTATAAAATTATATCTCTTTTAAGTAGATTGGTAGATTGGAGTTACCTCTCACAGTGTAGGAACTGACTGTATTGAAGTTGAGACAGAGAAAGAGAGAAGGTGAGGGGTACAGACGAGAGCCTTCAGCAGACATCCTGGTGTAGAGAGATGCTTACACACCGTAGCCCCCTCCACTATCAACAGGGAAGCCTACATACTGATGAGACTTCTCCTCCCCTGTGAGAGCCACGCCATGTAGATGTCCCCAGAGTAGAGGGGCCCCTGAAAAGACCCTCTTTCTCCTTGATCAGGGGAAGCATCAAAAGCTACTGTCAATCTGTGAGTCTCAAGAAGTGTCTTGTTCAACATTGCTTGAAGTAACAATGTGGACTATCACACTTGAAGACCTGCATCTCCTTGGGGATGTTAGCAGATGGCATCTACCTGACAGGTCCACCACTGGGGTGAGATCTGAGGGTCACTCTGGCTATTAGGCCATATATGGCACTAATGAAAACTCTTCCTTTTCACTGGTGTCATATAGGATGGAAATGTTACCAGTGCCAAAGACTTCAACTGTAGTAAAATTTATCAGTGCAAACACAGTGGTCAATGACACAGAATCCTGCAGGGCATTGAGTCACAGTTACATTAGGACACTTGCCCTCCTGTGCCTATATGGAATGTAGATTTCTATTTAGTAAAACTGAGATGGTTAACCCCTAACCTCACTAAAAAGAGAGGGGAGGGATTGCTCTCTCTTTTTGCACAAATACACCTCACACTGCACATTGTGCAACTTTATTCTCTAACTAAGTTTAGTAAATATATCAATAAGTATGTTGGTGTGAGGATGAGGTGGGGCAAGTGTAATGAGATTCCTTGTCTATCGGAGCCTAGAAAGAAAACTTCATTGGGAAGAACTGTTAGAAACTTCTGAGGATGGCAAATAGTGGTCAAGAATTGGTATGGGGGAATAAGCTCATACATTTTAGCATTATGTCTTGTTAAGCAACTAAATGGTCACATAACCAGTCCTTTAAACACTAAGCACGAGTGTTAGATTGTCCCAATGAAGAAAGAAGTAAGGGAAGGCAGAGGAGACATAATCTAATAACTAGGCCTGGGGCACCCTCCATCGCTTGCTGCTCAATCTGTCTCAGGATTTGTCCCCAGGATTATGACAAAGTATTCCTCAGCTGCCACAGCCATGGCTCAAGTGGTCCCAGGTCTGGCTTAACCTGCTGCTCTGGAAGTTGTGAACTTTGGTGGCATCCATGTCAATTCTGCAGGTGCACAGAATGTAACAGCTTCGGGGCATGGTGTCCTTCACCTAAACTTCAAAGACCTTCCAGAAAGCCCAGGGCCCTGGACAGAGACTTGTTTTAGAGGTGGAACCAGCACAAACAGTCCCTATTAGGGTGGTACTGAGCAGAACTAATGCACCAGAGCTCCTGCAGTCTGTCCACTGGAGTAATGCCTAGTGGTGCCATGCCTAGGGCTGGCCCTAAGGCCCCAGAACTGGAGAGTTATCAGCATATAACATCAGCCTGGGAGAGCTGCAGGCACAAGACTCCAACCCATGAGAGCTGCTGGGAGAACTGAGCCCAAGAGCCCAACAAAGCCATCAAGGCAGTTTTTCCTGAGGCCACGGGGACCCAATCCCCACCCCAGTGTGCTGAGACATGGAATTAAAGGGGACTTTTATCCAGCTTTAAACTTCAAATTGTTTTCTCTGTTGGGATTAGATTTACCTGGAGCCTGTTACCTCTTTGTTCCTGCTTCCTCCTCCTTTTTGGAATGGGAATGCCCACCCTGTGCCTGTCTCACCACTGAGTTTTGGAAATAGATAACTTGCTTTGACTCATAGCTCATGGCTGGAGGGGATTTGCCTCTAGATGAATCATGCCTGAGTCTCACTCATATCTGATTCAGATGAGACTTTGGACTTTTAAATTGATGCTGGAATTAGTTATAACTTTGGGGGTACTGGGATGAAAT